CTCCCAGCTCACTCCCTGATCAGGTGCACCCACGGGATCTTTGTCTTCACCTCTTCCCATGCCTGCTTTGTTCTCCCCCTGCTCCCCAAACGTTGACTGTCATAATGACCCTCTTTCTCTCCGAAAAAGCAGCGAAGTGGTATCAAGTCTCAGGATAGATCACAGTGGAATAGATATTTTAAGAAATTGTGCTCTTCTGGACTGAAATCCTTTGAGACAGACACCACACCTGCCTTTGGTGCCTCATGTGACACCAAACGTGCTGCTGGCACCAGTTAATAAAGGTCAGTGCTTAACTCTGAGCTAGAGGTGACCTGACCAGTGTGGTGTGATATGTACCATTGGGCAGACTGGGAAATTAGATCTCACTGGGGTAGACTGGATGGAGGAAAAGCTTTTCAGATGGGAAAAATCACACCAATGTCCTTTGCAACAGGTTGGTGAACACCTGGGCCCAGGAGCCTGGGCTGGTAGCATCTGGTATATCACATCTTCAAGTCCTCAGCCCTGCAGTTGCTTTAGGTAATCTGTCAGTCTGGTAGTTAGTGGCACACCTGCAAAGCCACCCTGTATAAACATTTTGGTTAAGGATATTTTCTCCCTGTCTTCCAGTAATCTATTTTTCAGGAGGTAAGTATTTCTTGATGCCATCGTTTATATGGTGTGTGGCTCCCCTCGCACTTAAGCACGCCACTGCTCCTGACCTACACTGCAAGTCCCCATACAATGGCACGAACAGGATTACTCGTGAGGCTTTAAAAATGCAAGAGCAGTGCATTACATCTGTGTGTGCAGGACTAAAAAGCCTGCAGTAAGCGAAGCTTCACTGAAGCAAGGAATGGCCTCTCTGCGCTGCAGAAATGGTCCCTCTTTATGCGGTCCCTTTCTCAGCTCCAAACTGCTTTTCCTCCTCTTTCTTCTTTGTGTTATTTAGCTTTGCCCTCTGGCTGCCTTGTTTATTGCTGTGGTATTCCAGGACAGGTAAAAAAAAAAAACAAAAACAAAAAAACAACAGATTCATGTGACTGCTCCGATTTCAGAGGGAAGGTATGTGAGGGCAGCCATGTGTTCGCTCGCACTATCTAGTTACGGTTTTGTGTTGGGGTTATAGCAACTGGGATATGTTTTCCAGCTGTAAAATGAAAATCCCCTGCCTGCTTTTAGTCACAACAACAAGTGTGTTTTGCTCTTTGGGACTGTCATACTTCCTGAGGTTAGTTAAACTGTCCCTTCCCTCTGGTGATAGACACAGAAAGGCTGAGCCAGCCCTGTTTCTTCTATTAGTTATGGGTAAATTAACAGGAAAAGAGTGTTTGGGATCCCCTATGCCTTCTGCAACTTGTGAATCAACAGCAATAGTTTTATACCAGAGCCTGGAGAGCTGGCTGCCGTGTGGTGGGAGGTGTGGGGGGGCTCCTGGTCCAAGACTGGTGTGGATGCAAGCTGGTCAGCCCTGGTGCTGCCCCCAGACCTTGTGCCGTGCCCACGCGTGCTGCTGTGGGCTGTTCTCACCAGTGCTGGGAACACTGCCCAGGAGGGTGAAGAGGTGGCTGTGGGCTCTTGGAAGGGACTTGGGCTCCTGTTCTCTGACCCTGCTTTTAGCACCTCTTGCAGGTCGTAAGACTGGAGGAAGTGTGAGATTAAAAGTTAATAAATACACCTCTCCCAGTGGTTGTTGACATCCGTTTTGGTTCTCAGATCAAGGTTGTGCTAGGTGAGTTCAGTTTGTTCATGGACAACGATAATTTAGACTTTCAAAATCAGATGTGTAGCAGAGTATGGGATTTGAGCACTGAAGCACCAGGATGGGAAGTGCCCTCAGAAATCGTCAACTTCTCCCCAGGTTACACGAGCAGAGACGCGGGAAATCTTTGGCACCCCATGCAGAGCCTCAGCAACAACCTGCCTCACGGACAAACCTGGTTCTGCTGCCAGAGCCAAACTTTGCTCCAAAATCCATTAGAGACAGAGCACGTGCACCCAAGAGCAATGTCCTTTGGCCTCTAGCCTTGACCGTCCTCTCCTTTGAAAGGACCTGATACTGCCCTGTGCCACACATTGAGGTTGTAGCTAATTATGGGGTTAGAAAGCTAAGTCTGTGATGGATTATTTTCCTTAGCTGTTGGGCTACCTACAGCTAAAGTGGTACACTGTAATTAGTTCAACAGGATCTGTTAACTAACTTACTGCACCCAATGGATGCGTCTGGGAGTGCCTGCTCACACTAGCAAGGAACTGGAGAGGTTCTGCAAGGTCTCCGGCAGATCCAAGGACCTTTCTGTGGTATCTGCTCTCCTCCTAGGGGCAAACGGTGGAAGCACAGCCCTGTGGCCGTGGTCACTCAGCAAAGCCCATGCAGGCATGGCTACCTGGTGTGGTTTCACTGCGAGAAATTGTCTGCTTTGCTCTCCGTAACCCCAGGGGCACGGGCTGGGGTTTTTGGCAGGTGGAGATACGGAAAGTGGTGCAGTGCCGCTGGCAGTTGCTTGGCTTTGTGACTGCTCAGATGTTCCTAAAGGGGCTTTCCAAGAGCTGGAGAACTCTTGAGCTTCCTTCCTGTGAAAGGCACGTGGTGGTTTGGGCTGCTTGTTGACTGCTGAGGATGTCTTCTGTGTTTTACATACACCCACATCCACTCACCCCACCCTACCCCCTTGCTTACCAGAGCCCAGTATTGATCACTGAAGCTGTTCAAAGAAGGAGCTACCGAGGAAATTGGACTTGATTCAGTGTCCACCATCCACTCACGTCCAGGACTAGGGACCCTCTCTCTTCTGGCCATTGCTCACCTGCTAGCAAATGGAAGAGTACTTGCTGGCTGAGAAAGGACCAAATTCTGCAGTCAGTTAAACATTGCATTTGTTGAGTAGACTGATAAAATACTGCTGGAGAATATGTGTGTGTGTGGAGCAGAATGGTGCTGTAGGATTTAGCTACTGGAAAGTGGCTTGTTATTGGATCAACTTCTCCAGCAGCAGGTTTGGCCCTGAACTGTTTAGGTGAAGCTGCGGTTTTGGTCAATGACTTTAGTATTTGGCACAATTTTTCATGTAGGTTGCATCCTCTTACAAGGTGAGTCTGGCCCTGGTATGTGAAAACACTACTCAATGTTTTCATTTGCTTTTCTCCCTCATAGCAAACAGCGGCATAACAAACTGTGGCGCTCGCACTCGGACAGTGACCTCTCAGACCATCACGAGCCCATCTGCAAGTCTGGGCTGGAGCTGAACAAGAAGGAGATCACCACATCGGCCGACCAGATCTCAGAGGCCAAGACCAATGACAACCAGCAGCCGATGTCTCCCATCTACTCAGCTGAGCTGAACAGGGAGCAGCAGCTCCCAGAGGATGCAAACATGCTCGAGGAGATGTGTGTGAAGGAGAGAAGGATCCACCTAGAGTTTACATGTCGAGACTTCCATGCTGAGCAGATTGAGGACAAGCTGAACCTGAACAATATCAATGGCTGTACAGCAGGATGTTGTGTAGACTCTGTCCCCCCTGATAACTGCCACGCTTCTGAGGCCTTAATGCAACTCCAGCACCCCTTGGAAATAACAGAGTTTCCTGATTTGACAGTGGATGATCTAGAAAAAGATGCCCTTAAGCCTGATATGAACGTGCACTTGGTTCCCATGGAAGAATTCACTTCGTGCTTAAAAGACTTTCCCCAATCCCCAAACCAAAATTCCCCGAGTCTCCAACAGAATCCCCAGCCCGAAGTGACAGACCTCAGTACAGACAGGATAGATTTCTTCAGCGCTTTGGAGAAATTCGTGGAGCTATCCCAGGAGAGCCGGTCACGCACCTGCTCCCATTCCAGGACAGAGGAGCAAGGGAGTGGAAGGAATGGGGTGTCCAGGGTGCCCGTGCTGGAAGTGCTGCCTGTTGCAGATGGGGGTGCAGATGCTCGAAGAAACAGCTCTGGAAACTCTCCTCAAGCATCGGATGACTCTTCCACAGATGAAGAACAACAAAAGGTTAAAATAACTTGCTCATTTTTTGTAGGAGCTGCTGCTTAAGCTATCTGTGGGTAGTTCTCTTGTTGTGAGGTTGCTGTGGACAGGGGATTTTCTAGTCCTGGCTTTCACTGAACAGGGTAGCTGTTTGGGGAGGGATTGCTAGATGCTTCCCCTTTTCTTCACTTTTAGATACTTACCCTTTTTTGCACTTTTTCCTTAAACATCTCTTTGCTGGCAGTGGCAGGGTACTGGCTGAATCGACCTTGACCTGACTTGCCGTGCTGTTCTCATGAGAAACTTATTTTTGAATTTTGCATCAGGAGGGCAGATAGGTGGGACTTGACCCACTAACGCAGCTGAACCCTGAATAGCCGAGGCCAGCCAGCATCCCAAACCTGCACCGATAATCTGTCTGACTTGAGAAATCCACCAAAGATAAGGACAAAACTGACACCTTTCCCTGTTTGGGAAGCACCAGCATTGGGATAGTAAATCAGGGCAGATGCAGAGCTTCCGCTGCTGGAGGAAGAGAATGAGCCTGTCTGGGCTTGGGGTGGTGGGATCAGGCATGTCATGGCTCACTTCTCTCCTGGGTAGAGAGATGGTCCTGACAAAATTTAGTAACCTCTGAATTGAGGTACCTTTCTCTTATAATTGCTTTCCACCCTCCAGGGTGCTCTCAGGGATTGATGATGTCCGGGGCCATCATTTTCTGGGAACCTCTGTTATTTAAATTCCACGCTGCATTGCTTGAATCTTTTCCATCTCCATGTGAGGCAATAAGACTCTTCCAAATATAATAGGCCAACGCTGTCTCCAGTGATTTGGCAGAAAGAGCATCTGTGCGGATGGGGGAGTCTCTCTGGCCATTTTCCTCCGGGAAACCAGAGCATTTCAGCGCTTGGTCATTGTTTATGCTGTACTTCTGTTTGCTCCCATACATGAGCAGAATCTTTCATGTTTTCATTTCAAAACTGCACTTCCAGTAGCATTAGGATTTTTTTTTTGTTAACTGGACTTTATTTAAAAAAAAATAAACTAAATTTCCTTTGGAATTCGTGGCAATTAAATAAAGTTCTTAAATGTCAGTCTAGGTGAAAATCCAGCCTGAAATATGTTAAATGTAGTCCCAGAGACAATATTGCTTCTACGTTAGTGATCACAGCACTTGCAATCCGTCCCTACACACTGGCATATGCGCTTTTTGTTCCTTTGGGGACGTGCACCCCCCCATTTCCTTTAAGCCCATTTCCTTCCATTTGCTCTATGTCAGCACAGCTGATCCATTTTGTAATTCTCCGGTTTCTGTGTTGCAGGAGGTCGCTGAGCTGCCTAGCGCAGGCCATCTCAAGAGATCCCACTCGGAAAATGCCATTTCTGTGAAGGAAATTGTCACAGAGATCGAGTCAATCAACCAGGGAGCAGGACCTGCCCAGCAGAAGGAGGGCTCAGCCAGCCTCTCCCAGACACCAAAGAGGAACACGGTGCATGACCTGCCTGTGGAGGCGATTTGGGCATCGGAAAGGGTGGAACAGAGCGAAGGAGCCTGTGCTGGACAGCAGGAAAAGGAGAAAGACCCTCTGCAAGCTGAGCAAGAGGCTGCCCCCTCCCTGCAGCCATCTTCTGGTAAATCAGACCTGGAGGAAAGCAGCCCTGGGGGAGAGCAGCAAGAGCCTCGTGGTTCCATCAACCCTGAGCCCAAATGGTGCCCTGGCTCCGTCCGGCGAGCCACCCTGGAGTTCGAGGAGCGCTTGAGACAGGAGCAAGAGCACCAGCACACATCCCCAGTCTGCATCTTACCAACCCGCAAGAACTCCAGGAACGATGCTGCTGCCGCCGCCGAGCTCCTTCCACGAGGGAAGAGCGAGGAGCCGCCCCTGGAGCTGGCTCTGGAGGCCGACAAGGTGCGGGGTCCAGGCACTGAGGAGCTGCTGCTGCCTCCTGGGACAGAGTTGCCTGCAGGCAGACACTTGCCTGCGCCCCTCGCCTCCTCCGCACAGGAGTCCCTGCCTGCAGAGCCCAGCCTGGGGCAGGAGGAAACGACACAAGAGCGCAGGACAGTGGTCTCATTTGATGGGACAGAGGAGCCATCTCTGCCCTCCCTCCTCCCGAAGAGAATTGAAATCATCGAATACACTCCCACGGTCAAGTCTGCAGAGCACCCCAATGCAAGCTGTGAGCAGGGCGGGCTGGCCGCAGCCATCCCGTCTTTAGATGAAAACTTGAACCCTTCATTGTGCTCGGAGAAGGCGCCAACCTGTCTCAGAGCTCTGACGCTGGTAAATCTCTTACTGCCGGAGCACGCGGTACAGAAGCAGGCCACCTTCACTGTGGGCAGCCCCAGCGAGGAAGGCGATGGGTTATCTGTTCACCTCGGGGCTGCTTCCCCCTCTGCCCAGGTGACCTCTACGCCTTTGGCCAGTCTAGATCGCTCTTCCTGCCCCTATGTAATTCACCTGGAAGGCGTCACTGAGCAGAGCACGGGTACAGACGATGAGCTGGTCACGCCATGTGGCGTTGAGGGAGATGCGACTCTCCCATTCAGGGACGGACTCGAGCCTCTCTGCAGAGAGGGTGCCGGCACCTCGAGGCAGCTGAGCGACGAGGACTTCACCAGCCAACGTGCTGAAAACATGGACCTTCTGGACATCTCTTTCCTGTGCTACGGCGTCCCCCACAGCTCCAGCAGCCACAGCATGGAGGAGCACAGCAACAGCCCCGGGCTGGTCAAGCAGCGAGCGAAGGAAATAGAGGCTCGGATCCGGCACGCAGGACTCACCACACCCTCCCACATGAAGCGCTCGGCATCCTTGGCCAAACTGGACTGCCTGGACCTCTCCAAGGACGACTTATCCGAGAGGGAGTTGGCCTCTTCCAACGCCAACCCAGTGCTTCTCACCTGCGTTGCCCTCGGTCGAGGCTTTCGCGGGGGGAGGTTGGAGAGGGGCTCAGAAAGCACGTGCGGAAAGCATCGCCTTTCCTCCCCAGAGCCCGCTAAGCATTTTGTGGAACAGCTCAGAACAGCCGAGTGCATTGCCCAGAGCAAGCCAGTGGAGAGGCCGCTAGCTCAGTACGCCAAAGAGTGCGGCTCCAGCCAGCAGAGTTTGTTTTCCAGCGCGGATCCGACGTGGACTAGCTCCGAGGAGGGTCCTTCACTGCTCCATGTGCAGGTCCTGGACTCCTTGTCTCCAGCTCAAGGTCTGGCTGTCGCACCCCGGCAGCAGCACGGGAGAACTCACCCTCTGAGGAGGCTCAAAAAGACCAATGATAAAAAGCGGACAACCAATCCCCTCTACAATACTATGTGATCCTGAGCCCTCGGCTGTGATTTCTTATTGAGAACCCATGGTGTTGCGTTCACGCAAGGGGCAGGTGTAATATAAGGAACATGCACTTTATTGGTTAATTTTATATATATATTGTCATTTTACTGTTCCTGGCGCATGTAGGTGTGGGTTGGTTCTTCTGTGTGTGACTCTGACTGCAGGACTGTTTGGGTTTTTTTTAAGTTTTTTTAACTCAGATAACCTCAAATGTTCTTTTTGTTTGTTTGTTTTAAAAGAACACCTTTATCATGCAAAAATTGATGTTGGCTTGCTTTGGCAAGGTGGAGTTTTGCTTAGAACCAGATCCTAGTTCCTAACTTGAATTTTCCCCATGCCTTGAAATGGTGCTGGGCAGTTGTTGGGGTGAGAGCCCCCATAAATGTGAAGGTTGTGCCAAGGTCCCTTTGTTTGACCTTTCTTATATTTCTGCAAACTGGAACTCCACGATGCTGGCAGATCACTCACAAAGCTGCTTCAGGACGAACCCCCAGCTCGGTTCTGCTGGTGCATCCCCAAAAGGATTACTCGAGGGTAAATCCTCCTGACGGATGGGCTCTGAAAACCCCGGGCAGCCTGGCACGGAGATCAGTGTTCACCTCCTGGTGTGGGTCCTGCAGAGCCCTCCCTTTTGTGGTGAGGTGGAGCAGAGCCCCTCCACGAGCTGCCGAGCTCACCTCTCCTCGGCTGCCCCAGACCCAGCGGGTGAGAGGAGGAGAAGCCTGCAAAGCCACAGTGTTCTTTTAAAACAAACGCCTCGTTAGGGTTTTAACCCTCCCATTACTTGAATACTGCTGTGGGCCTTCCAAGTTCATGGCCATATCATCTGTCCTTTGCCCTCCTGCTGCCTCCCCTCTGCCTGAAAGCCATTCTTGTCTCATGCTGCCTGAGTTTTCCTCTCCTCTGCCATGCTCAGAGGCATTTCTGGTCACTCCCAAACCTAGAGGCTGTTAGAATTGTTACACAACATGTTGCCCCTACTGAATGCAAAGCTTTGTCCTCTCTGCTGTCACTCCTAACACTCAACCTGGAGGGAATATCTTTTCTGGAAGTTATTTTCCTTTTTTCTTTTTGCCTAAATTGTATATATGGTATTTATATAGAATTTTTTTTGTTGTTTCTATGTTTGGGGTTTTTTTTTTTTTAAAAAAAGGGCAAGACTGCATTGTGTAAACTGGAACGAACACAAAACCACCTTACTCAAACTCAGTGCTGTTCATTGTAATCTGCACAGAAATGGGAGTGGATTTGACATTGTAAGCTGTCTTCCCTTTCCGAAAGTGAGCCTCAATGCCAGCCTTTGCCAAATGTGTCCCTTGTCCTCCAGTCCTTCGTGAACCCCCGTTACCCACTGCAGTAGGGGGACTGTGTATCTGCCCATCTCCCCTCTGCTCGAAGCTGGGTTTCCGAAGTGCCAGTCAGACATGGGAAGCCATCGGCCGCTCCGAGCCATTCTGCAGGTTCTTGCTTCCCTGGAGAACATGCATTTGAAGGGTCTGCTCCAACTTTCAGCAAATTATTTTACGGTTCCTGAGCAGTTTGGTTAAATCAAAGCTCCTCACTTCCGGCCGTGCATATCAGCAAATTGTGTGTGTGCTGTAGGAGCAGAGAGAAAGGCACTTGGCCGTGGTGGGAGAGCTCTGGGTCCTGTCTGCCGTCCCGTGGCAGGTCTGTGGCAGAAGAGCGTGTCTGAGCTGGTGCTTGGCTCTGGCCCAGTCCTGCCCTGCAGGGAGGAGCGAAACGGAGAGAAGATGCAGAATGGCTCCAGCTGCCAAAAGCCCAACACGGAGAGGATGTGGTGTGGGAGGAGCAGCAGACAAGGCCGTGCCTAGAAAGCAGTGTTGATGCTGCAGAGCCTTGCAGGCTCTGATGGGACAAGCTTATCTTGAGCTGGAGAGGAGCGTGCGGCACCAAAGCACTGCAGAGTATTGGGAAGCAGCACACGTCTGCCCTGGGGAAGGGTGTCCGTAACCCCCCACCTCGCTGCCCTCCTCTAGCTCCCAGGGATCCTGCTGCACTGCCTTGCAGAGCCCACAGCCTGGGCACGGGGCTGTCACCATGTCTGTCCTCCAGCACCAACGTGCGCTCTGTCCCCTTCCCAGGAGCCTGAGCTCTGCTGGGGGTGTCACCCGTGCTAGCTGCAGGCTGGAGTGCAGCCCAAAGTAGCGCAGCAGGGCCCTGTCTTGGGTCAAATAGCACATCATCCCGGGCTGTTTCAGTCACTAGACCTGGCCTGGGAGGCCAGATACTTCTTTGGGACGCTGGAAGACGTGTGGCCTCTGCTAGCCAGCTCCAGCTGGCTTCGGAGCTGGGCAGACACTGTGGAAAGGCCAAGTGGCTCGTGTCATCTTGTGAAGGACAATTTCAGTCCTTGCCTCCCCCACAAACCTCACCAGATCCCGCTGCCCACCATTCCTCACCCCAAGAACATGTCTGCCTGCCCCTCCGCGGGCGGAAGGGACAGGGTGCCGCCAAGCCTGCCCTGGGTTGGAGGGAGCATGCTCGGCTGGCAACGTGTCCTGGTGACAAGGATCTGCTTGGGAGGGGAAAGCCCTGTGCATGATTTGTTCCCTTGAGAAGGGAGGAGGAGGAACAGGATCAGATTTCTTTGCCCAGCTTGATCTCAGGAGAAATGCCCTATAAGAAGGCTCTTGCATGCAGAGCAGAAATGCTGCTTCCTTCAAGGCTCTGCTGCTGTCGGGGTGCTTCAGCTGGGGGGAGCAGCAAAGAGGCAAAGGTGCTCGCAGGGAGGTGCTTTGCTGTCCCCTTGTCCTCTGCTCCAGCCCAGCACAACCGTGGTTTTTCTCTGGGAAGCCTGTGGACAGGTGGAGGGAGTCGGGGAAGGTGGTTGTCTTGCAGAGTTATGAAGGCCTTGGAGGTCTGGAGGCTCTGACCTGGATGGCAGCGAGGGGAACGGACCGGAGAGATGTGTGGCATGCAGTGCTCTGGGAGCCCTGGGTCCTCCTTGGCCGGTGTCTGGGCAATGAAGCCACCAAGCCCCTGGTGTTAGAACTCTCTGCCTGGGAAGAGTTGTCCCTTCTCCATGCTGTGGCTCGTGGGTGGGTGGTGGTTCGCTCCTGGTTCCTGTGGCTGCCCCGCAGGAGCTTACAGCGACCTGCTGAGCTCTGCGGGGAGCAGCACCTTCCCTGGATGGGAAGGGGCAGCACCTCCAGAACGCTCGGCAGCTGACCGGCCTCACTGATAGAGGGGGTTTAGCAGAAACGTGTTGTTTTAAGGGCATTTTTGTACAAAGCAACTGTTCTTTTGGTCTCTTGCAAAGCCCTCTTGGAGGACGCTTTATTGTTTACATTGACTCCTGTACAATATCTCAGCCATCACCTCCCTCCTTGCCCGCCCCATCTCCGGCTGTACTGTAACGTGTGAGCCTTGCACAAACGGATAGCGTGTGCGTGAAACTGGTTTTTTACACTGCGTTCTGTTGCACTCGGTGTGTGTGCGTGTGTGCGTGTGTCCGGTCTGCTTGAGAAGTTGTGACCTGTACAAATCTCTCCCCTTTTGGCCCTTTCCTGGGGGCATGATCCCAGCGGGTGACAGGAGGGTCAGGAGGCGACGCCACTTCTGTCTCACTCGGATGGTAAATGGGGCAGGGATTAGCTCCATGTCCCTCTGCCAGCGAAGGCCTGGTGGAAGATGTCCCACCCCAGCTTTGGCTGCTCTGGGGACCTCCTGGGAGGAGCGAGGCGCTGGGAATTGGCATGGGCTCCGAGGCGTTGCACCTGCCCGGGGCCTCGGGGAGCTCTCCCAGCCCGGTGGCAGGAGGAAGCCATACCTGCTGCAGGTCCTCTGCTCCCGTCGTGGTGCATCCTGCCTTAATCTGGTCCTAGCTCCATGCAGACCCCCACGCTTCTCCCTAAGGGAGGGACCCCCCTGAGCCCTTGCTGGCGTGGGCCAGAGGCAGGTGCTGGCGCAGGAGGGGCCAGGCTGGGCAGAGGGCTCTTGGTCACCCTCCGGCAGTGCCCCCAGAGGTGCTAACAGCCCACCTGCGCTGCAGGCATCTCTGTTGGCACAAAAGAAGGTGCCAGTGCCTTTTATTTTCCTTTATGGAGATGTGACGTCCGTGCACTGGTTTGTAGGGATTGCCCCGGGGCCGGGCAGTCCGGCCGCACCGGGTGCTGGAGCACGAGCCCTCGGGGATGGCTGGCGGTGGAGTTGCCAACTGGGGAGGGGAGCGCTTCTGTCTGCCCCTCCTGGATCTTCCTTGGTGGCTGGGATCGTCCCCTTTCCCCCTAAAGACTTTATGACCGATGTGCTCAGCTGTTTTTAAATGTGAACTTGTGCACTGATGTGCAGATTCAATGTTCTTGTTACTGAATGAATAAAGTTTTATTTTGAAGATGACATGGGCGTGCTGCCTCCTGTTTGGGATCGGGGCTGGGGGCGATGAGGGATCGGCGCTGCTGTCAGAGCACAGGGCAGCAGGGGGGTCTGGGGAGCCAGGGCGGGGTTGTTCACTCGTGTGCCCTGCCAGAAGCGTAGATGGACCCATCCCAAGCGACCTCCTGCGCATGGGCTGAGGAACCGTGTGCCCAAGTAGATGCTCTCCCAGCTCCTGCTGCGGTTGCAGGGAAGATGCTGGGGGACGTGTATGGAAGAGTGTCGGGATGCTTCGGGTGCCCTCGCTGCGCTGCTGCAGGCAGAGGAGCTGCGGGGAGGAGCCTGGGGTTTAAGCTCCAAAGGGGTTGCGAGGTTTTAGCTGGGCCCTGGACCAGACCCACCATGGCCCACCCAGGAGCTGAGCCAAATCCACGCACTGAATAACCGCAGCGCAAGCGGATCTCTCTGTTGGGAAACGGCCCGTCTCAGGCGAGTTGGTTTTGCTCCATCGTGTCCCCTGTCATGGCAAGCCAGCACGGTGCAAAGGTCTCTGCCGCCTGGCCTGCCTGGCTGCGGGGAGCAGCAGGGCTGTGGCAAGGGAGTACAGAGCCAAATCCCCCAGAGCTCAGCCTCGCTGTTCCTGCATGAAG